GCTAACAAGGCTAACTACCAAAAATTTGTGGCAATCTAATCATCCATCAAAACCCCAACCTTGTTCTTAATCACCTTAATTAGAATTTCAACATCTAGCTTTACCCCTCCATAGATGCGCCTACACTGTTCACACTACAAATGACTCAATAGCGAACCCCGCACTAGCTTTCCTGCATCCTTGAGTGTAGAGGATGGCTTGAAATTTTGTTCTCCCCAACAAATCTCTAACTTCCATGAAGATCAAACAGACCAAACAAAATGCTTACCCAACAGCTGAACAAAAACCCCATGATGCACGACAAATACTGCAAAAATGTGGTCAATGGTTTCTACCTCCTTATCACAAAAAACAAAGTTCATAGGGCCAGAATACCACCACAACGCCATCTTTGGCCGCTTATGGATTCTTTCCTTGACAAACAACTAGAGGATAAATTTATTCTGAGGAAGACCATGCCCTTTCTATACAAGATGCACTGTGAGCATAGAGATGCATCTAGGATTCTCCCAACCTTTATGAGCATTATGGTGCACTTATGGGCCACATTATGGGTGGTATTAAGGGGTGCATTTTGGGGGGGGGGGGGGGGGGGGGGGGGGGGGGGGGGGGGGGGGGGGGGGGGGGGGGGGGGGGGGGGGGGGGGGGGGGGGGTGGGGGGTGGGGGGGGCTTTATGGGTTTATTGATGTAGAGGGACCATTATGAGGGGGCATTGATGCCTTATATGTGGAGAGACCTATATAAGGAGCCATCTCCCTCACTTCTAACTCATTCCATCATTTTTTTAGAGTAATACACCCTAGAGAGTTCTCCCATCTTCTCTGTCTTTGTTCTTGCTTTCTTTGCTCTCTGTTGAGTTTGAGAGAAGGCTACTTAGTTCTCTAACGGAATTGAGAGCTAAGTGCACACGATCAAGAGTAAGGCCGTGAAAAGTGGTATCAAAGCCTGGTTTGGCTCGGTGCTAGCAAAGAAGAAGTAATAGCCAAATGAAGAGGAGGAGCCTCACCAAAAATGTCAGGATCAGATAGCGGCATTACTAATGTTGAGAAGCAACGTGTAAGAGGAACCACGAAGAACTCGAAGACAAAAGATACGTCGAGCACTGGTGATCCTTTCACGTCTCTAGAGACTCGTAAAGCTTTCCGAAGATGTCATCGCCATGGAGGATTTGTGAGCTAACTTCGCCCAAGTCCAAAGCGATGTTCAAGGAATGAATGCTCGGTTGGCGAGGTTAGAGATTGGGCTTGATGGCATACGAGAAGAGCTTGTGGCCCTCCGACTCCATGAACAACGCGATCAAAGTTGTGAAAGAGCATGCCGAGTCTGAGCTGGGTGGCGTGAAGGAGGAATTGTGAAACTCAAGAGTGAGGTCACTCTCATGAAGAGAGCCATGACTAGTGGACCAGCCCTGGTGCAATCCGTCCCACGTGTTGATGTTCCAAGACCAAAGAATTTCGGAGGTTCAAGGAACGCGAGGGAGTTAGAGAACTTCCTTTGGAGTCTTGAGCAGTATTTCAAGGCATCCGGCATACAAGAGGATGATGTAAAACTTCATATCGCTCCACTTTACTTGGTCGATATTGCTATAGTTTGATGGAGGCGACGTGAAGTAGACTTCGAGAATGGTACATGTGTGATGGCAACGTGAGATGATTTTAAGAGAGAAATCAAGAGGAAGTTCTATCCGAAGAAAGTGGAGTTTGAAGCCCGTTCAAGGCTGAGAAGACTCACCCAGAGGGGTGGAGTTCGAGAATATGTGAAGGAATTCTCAGAGCTACTTCAAGAGATCCCGAACAAGGAGGCCATGCACGGATTTCTTGATGGGCTGCAACCGTGGGCCAAGATGGAGATGCAACGTCGAGGAATGCAAGACCTTGCAATAGCCATGGCCACAACGAAGTATTTTGTTGAGTACAAAAGGCAAGAGAGCAGCACCAAGGATAAGAGTTCAAATCCCAATGAGGGTGGAGAGCAACGTCAGCCTTTCCAGGAGGGCACTCGCACTCAACAACAACATGGTGGTCCCAGCAAAGGGGGTAAGTTCAAACCAAAGCCTCTTACTTGTTTATTTTATGATGGACCACATCGAGTGCGAGATTGCCCAAGGACAGCGAGATTGGGAGCCATGGAAGCTCAAGATGAAGAGCCCAAGGCAGCAGAGGCCAAGATTGGCTCAATCCACAAGCTTGGCGCAGTGAAGACCGACACCAAGGAGAGCAAGTGTGGGAAGTGCTATGTTCTGGCCCAATTCGTGCAAGGTGAGTCAAAAGCCTTGGTGGATACCGGTGCCACGGACAACTTCCTATGCATCGAGGAGGCAAACCGGTTGGGTATTGCCTACCAGAAGGGGAAAGGGTGGCTCAAGACGATCAACTCGGAGTCCATACCGATCCATGGAGTTGCTCACAACATGCCAGTGAAGCTTGACGAGTGGGAAGGCATCATCGCATTTTCCGCCGTCATCATGGACGATCACCTTGTCATCGTCGGCATCAACTTCCTCGACAAGGAGGGAGTGCTCTTGAATCCCACCTCCAACATGATGTGCTTGGAGAAGGGATGAGAGTTCTATGTGGTCCATCTCTTGAGAGAAGATGACCCCCATAGTGCTTTGTCCGCTATGCAGGTTTTGTAGGGGTTCAAAAAGAAGGAACCAACCTTTATTTTGTCCTTGAAGATGGAGGAATAAGGAGGCTCGACGGGAATCACAACTCCCATCATGAAAGGTGTGCTTGAAGAATTTGATGATGTGATGCCATCGGAGTTGCCAAGAAGCTGCCACCAAGAAGAGAGGTGGACCAAAAGTTCGAGTTGGAGCCAGGAGCGAAGCCCCTTCACGAGCACCATACTGCATGGCCCCACTAGATCTTGAGGAGTTGCAGAGGCTACTCAAAGACTTGTTGGGTGCAGGCTACATGAGGCCACCGAGGGTCACCTTTTGGAGCACCGGTGTTGTTCTAAAAGAAGAAGGAAGGGTCGTGGCGCATGTGTATCTAGTATAGAACCATCAACAAGTTGGCGGTGAATAACAAGTGGTCGATTCCCAACATTGCCGACTTGTTTGACCAGCTTGGAGATGCGATGTGGTTCACCAAGCTTGATCTTCGCTCGGGCTACTATCAAGTGCGGATAGCTGAGGGCGACGAGCCAAAGACAACTTGTGTGACGAGGTATGGCTCTTACGAGTTTCTTGTGAAGCCATTCGGTCTTACCAACGCACCAGCCATGTTTTGCACTTTGATGAATCAAGTGTTCAAGCCATTCATGGATCGATTCGTCATAGTGTACTTGGATGACATCATAGGGTATAGCAAAACACTCGATGAGCATGCACTGCATCTATGCCAAGTCTTCCAAGTCTTTCGCGACAACGAGTTGTATGTCAAGAGGGAGAAGTGCACATTTACCACCACGGAGGTTCCTTTCTTGGAAAAAATCATAGTTGGAGGCAAGCTGAAGATGGATGAGGCGAAGTTGGAGGCAATCCAAGAATAGGAGCTGCCTACGAAGGTGCCAGATTTGCGTTCATTCCTCAGCCTTGCAAATTACTATAGGAGATTTATCAAGGGAAACTCCAACATTGCAACACCCTTGATGGATCTTTTGAAAAAGAAAAAGGCTTCAGACGAGGTCAGAAAGGTTCCAAGAAGCATTCGAGGCCTTGAAGGCAGCGGTTATAAAGGAGCCCGTGCTCATGCTCCCCAACCCAACGTTGGCCTACAAAGTGCAGACCGATACATCCGACTTCGCGATCGGTGGTGTTTTGATGCAGGATGGGCATCCCATTTTCTTCGAGATTCGGAAGCTCATCGAGACGTTGAGGGGATACACGGTCCAAGAGAAGGAGATGACGGTTGTGGTGCATTGCTTGCGCACATTGAGGCACTACTTGTTGGGGTCGAAGTTCGTAGTGAAGATTGACAACGTGGCAACGAGCTACTTCCTTACAAAGAAGAAGCTCACCCCCAAGCAAGCAAGGTGGCAAGACTTTCGGGCCGAGTTCAACTTCGTGATGGAGTACAATCCAGGCAAGGCAAACTCCTTTGCAAATACTCTTAGCCGCAAGTACGCGGCCACAAGCATCGACTAGGCCGTGTTTCCTTTAAACGAGCGCATCATCGAAGGCCTTGGCCATGATCCCTTCACCAAAACCTTGGCGGAGTACCTCAAGCAAGGAAAGACTCGACGGTTTTGGATGAAGGATGGGCTCATCAAGACCAAGGGAGAGCATGTGTTCGTGCCAAGATGGGCCAACTTGAGGAAGGAGATCATGAAGGAGTGCCATGATTCTAAGTGGGTTGGCCATCCCGGCATCGAGAGGACACAATCCTCATCAAGGAAGCATACTTCTGGCCACGTATGAGAGCCGACATGGAGATGTATGTGAAGACTTGTCTTTTGTGCCAACAAGACAAGATGGAGCGAAGAAGCCCGATAGGTTTGCTAGAGCCCTTGCCCATGCCTCAACGACCATGGGAGAGTGTCAGTATGGACTTCGTCGTTGGACTTCCTAAAGTCGACGAGTGTGATTGCATCATGCTTGTGGTGGAAAGTTTCTCGTAGTATAGAGTGTTCATCCCTGGGCCAAAAGACCTGATGGCAGAGGATGCGACACAGCTATTCTTCAAAACGTGGTCAAGTATTGGGGCATTCCTAGCAACATCGTGAGCGACAGAGATGGGCGCTTCACGGGCCAATTTTGGCGGGATTTGTTCAAGATCATGGGCTCCTACTTGAACTTCTCGACGTCAATTCATTTGTAATGCGACGGACAAATGGAGCGGGTGAATGCCTTGCTGGAGGTGTACTCGAGGCACTATGTGAGTGCTAACCAGCGAGATTGGGTGAAGTTGATGGATACGGCACAGTTCTCCTACAACTTGCACGTAGCGAGTCGACCAACACGAGTCCATTCGGTTTGGCAACGGGGCAGCAGTCGTTGACACCTACGACGGTGGCAATGAGGTATAGAGGCAACAGTCCGGCATCCTACATGTTCGCTAAAGGCCGACACGAGAAGATGGAGATGGTCAAGTCTTACTTAGCCCACACTAGTAAGAAGATGAAGAAATGGGCGAACAAGAAGAGGCGGCATTTGGGGTCGAAGAGGGAGACATGGTGATGGTGAAATTCTACCCTCATCGCTTCAAGCATCTCAAGAACGTGCAGAAGGGACTGCTTTGCCGCTATGAAGGTTCATTCCCCATCGTGAAGAGGATTGGCAAAGTGGAGTACAAGGTGGAGATTCCGTCCACATTTAAAGATCCATCCGGTCTTTTATGTGAGCCAACTCATGGCTTCAACGAAGACAAGGAGGACGAGAGGCCCACAAAGTCACATCACACAGCAACACTCGTCACCAAGACACACAACCATGAAGTCCAGAGATCATGGCACGTCGTGTCATTCCTCGTCGTGGCGTTCATCCTAGTTATGTGGAGTACTTGGTCAAGTGGCGCAACCTTCTAGAGAGTGAGGAAAGTTGGGAAAATGAGCTCTCACTTTGGAAGAACAAAGACTTGTTCGAGGGTTTCCACCAAGAGTACGCGGTGAGGGCGTCGCGAGCACAGGTGGGGGAGGATGTCACATTTGGTAGATGACATGGCACCATCTAGGTGACAACATGGCGTGCACGTGTGGCGTGTATGGAAGACTAGGAGGATAGAGATGCCTCTAGGATTCTCCCAACCTTTATAAGCATTATGGTGCACTTATGGGTCACATTATGGGTGGTATTAGTGGGTGCATTATGAGGGGACTTTATGGGTGTATTGATGTAGAGGGACCATTATGAGGGTGGCATTGATACCTTGTATGTGGAGAGGCCTATATAAGGAGCCATCTCCCTCGCTTGTAACTCATCCATCATTTTTTAAGAAAACACACTAGAGAGATCTCCCATCTTCTTTGTCTTTGTTCTTGCTTTCTTTGCTTGCTTGTGAGTTTGAGAGAAGGCTTCTTAGTTCTCTAATGGAATTGAGATCTAAGGCCACACGACCGAGAGTAAGGCCGTGGCAGCACCCACGGGGGACAAGGTTGAGTTGTCCTAAGAGTGTTCCGGTAGAGCATTTTGACATAACTTCATCTTGCCAGTAGGCCTGGCCATCCACTTGTGAGATAAACTACTGAACTTTTGGATAAAGCTTCAGAAGCTGCTTCCAACACCATGAACCCACAGTTCCTTGAAAGTGTCGGAAACTTTATCTGTGCCCTTAAAACTACATTCTCAAGTAGGCAATCAGTTCTGCAGTTGAAGCTTTTACTTGTAACAGGGAGGAACTAGCATCACTTTGTAGGAGTACCCCACTAAAGATCAACTATTATCTCTTCCGAACCCAATTTTTCAATGAACGGTGCCACACATGTTGGCCTTACCCCATGCTTCAAATTTTGAACATGGAGGACCAAACTCATTCTTTTTAAGCATATCTATAGAACCAAACATCAAACAAGTGTCCAAAACAAAAAGAGAGTCATCGATACCGCACGAACCAAATGTCTTGAGACCACTAATTCACACAATCAACCAACACAGTATGAAAAGGCTAGGGGACTTCTCATGCATCAACATCCTCCATAGTGCTACATTGACCTCCATAAGTTGCATATAACCATGTAGACTAGTAATTCAAAGCATATTGAGCAGGAAATTTGCAAGGGACAATGCACTTAGAGCCCTCAAATCTTAAAAGTTTGGACACTGGACTAGGCCCCAAGCACACACATACAACCAAACATTCACGCACATACATAATGATACATAACCACCACACTTAAGCATGACATTGTCCTCAATGGAGGAAAGATAGGAAGGGTAGAAAACGAAGATACCGGATTGGGTGTGAATGATGGTGGATGGGGCAGGCAGTGCATTCCAAGGGTAGAGAGTCGTCAGAACTCAAATAACAAGAAAATCTCACAAAGTTTGAGTTACTGACTCGAAAATCATAGCACAAAATTGGCTCAATCGAAGAGAAATAGGGAAAGAAATGAAAACAGATTGGTTGAGTTGCCTCCCATTAAGCGCTTATTTCACATCGTGAGCCGGAAAGTGACTCATAAGCTTAAGTCCACCCCAAAACCTCCTTGAAGATCAGGTTCTTGTTGATGAGGTGGAGTCTCAAGTCACGAGCATGTGGTTTAGAAGGTGATGTGGGCTAGTGAACTTGATGAAGATGAAGTCTCCACCCTCGAGACCTCTTATTCTTTCGTCTAATTGCCCCAAACTAGATATGATATCATCGATTGACTACCATCGTGTCCACCAAGAGAAGGATCTCTCGATGTCCCGAGCAATCTTCTCCACATCAAGCTCCAATTGAATCTTCAGCTCTGGCCATGGAGTGTAGCATGGCTCTGCAGAATGGCCCCTGAAGGCCGCCATGGCTAACACCAGCTCCACTGGCCCCTCTGGTTGTAGCAGGAGTTCTTCTTGATAAGTAGATTATTCTTAAAATGCCCAGGGGTTTGATTGTTCTTCGTAGTAGGGGGATTGGTACTGAAGCCCCAATCCGTATCCTTATCCTCCTTGATTGCTCGAGGAAATTTTGGAGTAATACCACTCAAGTGGTGTGTATACCCCAATGGATGGAGAACCATGAGGATCCATGTTTCATATTTTCACCAACAAAAACAAAACACCCGAAATTTCCCGACAACAGCGCCAAAAACATGACTCACAAAAGCACAACACTCCTAACAATGGCCATATGTAACCATTGAAAGAGACTGCAGTATAGTGGCACATGTAATAAATATCGAATCCACTGGTCTCTAGAGTTACTATTACTCAGGTTTGGTTCATTATCTAGCAACCAGATTAAGATAGAAGAACTATAATTACTCTAGCAAACTACAGTTAAAGTTAATCTAATTACATATTAGGAACTCCTTTAGGTATGATTCTAAAAAACTTAAGTGAAGGAAAGTTACTCCATAGAGAATAGAGAGAATACAGTATAACTTTCCATAACTTCAATATTCATGTCTAGGCTTGTTCCTTGAGCTTCCAAAGCAAAGAAGTCCTCCAATTACACTCCAAGATCGCCCTAAAATCACCCTCTCTCTCTTTGGTTCATCCCTTGGGTGTCTGTGAACCGAAACCCAACTCTCCTTCTCAAGAAATCGCAAAACAGCCTTTTAACAACAGTTGGAATTTCCACGACTAGTTTGCACGGCCGTGTAAATATTTATACCACTGTGCAAACTCCAAAATGCACCGTTACACTTTCTCGGGCAAGGGGAAAAGCATGACCTTGATGTGGAAAAACACGGTCGTGTAAATCAGAGCTTTGATCGTGTAAACTCTTTGAAAACCTTGCACGACCATGTAAATATTTGCACGACTGTGTAAAACTTCCAGCCTTAACTCCTATGCTCCGTTAGAGCTCGTTTGACCTTTGACTGCCCGGGAACTTGTGTCCAAGCCTTTCTTTACTTGTTAGGGGTTGAAATACATAAAATGAGCACAAACTAGTTTAAAATAGGCCAAGGAATGATCAATCACCAAGCTAAACGATCAAGAAATGGATGGAGAAACATGTGCAAATACAATGTTATCAATTACCTTTGACCTTTTAATAATTATTTAAAAATGGTTAGCTACAGAGACACTCTATCTCCAATTTACAATACCATATAATATAATATTAATGCAATAACCAAAGATCCAAAGAAAATAGCGACAAATGCAATGTTCCTCTTTGTAGTTTATTGCCATCATCATTAGAACTACAAATAATCAAGTTTTATATTTACACCATGCAATTTAATTCCCTCATAGACATCTAATAAACAACTTATATAAATTAGTTGATGGCTAGCATAGAGTAATTGATGTTGTATTTTTATCATAAAATGAGGGTTTACAGTTTAGAATTGATTTGAGATTAGAGATTGTGTAAACTTGATCTACATAGGTATGGTGGGGGGGATAACTAGAGTATTATTGTAAAATAAAATGAAATAAAAATAATTGAAAATAAAAAATAATTGTAAATTTTTACAATTTATTTATCATTTGTATGGCACAAGAAGTTATGTGAGATGAATATATTAATAAAAATAAAATCTAAAATAAGATTCCTAAATTTCATGTTAAAAAAAAGACTAAACACTGGAGAAAAAATTAATCATACATTTTAATTGTACCGTGTTTCTCGGTATTTTTGTGAAAGATGAATGTCGCTAACATTAGGGTATGCCTACTATGACATGCATGTCACCGTGACATGGACTTTTCGGTCGACCTAATCCTGAAGGCGGTCGACCGAATTGACTAATTTGAGCAGCCCGAGAAAGCATTGTGGTCGACCTCAAAGACCACCTGGTCGACCATTCTTAGCTTAAGTTGTTATTTTTGGTTGACCAGAATAAACCTCGGTCGACCATTTTGTTGGCGTCAGAAACAACATGGTCGACCGTAAAGGTATATAGGTCGACCACTTGATGGCAGTCATTAACAACATGGTCGACCAGATAAAGAAAGAGGTCGACCAGATAGACGATAAGTGTTCTATCAATTTAGCCAATCATTTGACGTAAAATGAAGATCAAGTGTTGGTGTCGAGGTCGACCTAATCCGGTACGAGGTCGACCGAATACAAGAAAGTCAACCTATGCCCCATGTCTTTTTTGCTTATGTATGTCGATTTGTGTGGTTCTTTTGCTCGTATAAATTACGCTTTAAACCATCATAACTAGTCATAAATAATGATAACAAGGACTCATCAATTATGCTATGAAATGAGGTCGACCGCAATGCTTTCTCGTTCTGCCCAAATTAGTCAATTCGGTCGACCGCCTTTAGGATTAGGTCGACCGCAATGCTTTCTTGTGCTGCCCAAATTAGTCAATTCGGTCGACCACCTTTAGAATTAGGTCGACCGAAAAATCCATGTCACGGGGACATGCATGTCACCGTAGTAAAATCCCTAACATTATTGTTTGAAAAATATAAGTAGTTTATAATGTAGCCAAAAGAATTTTTAACATACGAATTTAAAAGTTGAGGAATTGATCGACCTACTTTGAAGTACACTTATAACTAAAAAAATTAAGTACTTAATTATATAACCAAAAATTTCTTTAAAATTAATTGACCTAGTTTGAATTTGCAAAGACTAATCAATGCCCTTTGGTCAAATTAATTGAATTAAACAAAGGATTATATGTATAATATGCGCTTCTACTATGCATTTTTTTCAAACATGTCTCTCTACTTTAAAACTATCAACTAATTCTCAAAAGATACCCTTTCGTTGGTTTTTCATCCGAAATAAGTTATATTCGGTCCAACCATGATATACCCAGCAAAATAAAAGGAAAAGACATTTTTACCCTTTTATTACTTTTAACCCATCGACCTTGAGAAATTTTACAATGCTATATAGTATTGGTGCTATAGGTTTTTGCCTTGATGGTACAACTTAAAATTGTACATTTATGTTATGGTACAACTTCAGATTGTACCTATACTTTTTGTACAAATTCTTTTATGGTACAACTTGAACTTGTACATTTATGTGATGGTACAACTTCAAGTTGTAAAGTCGTACCATAACATAATGATACAAATTGCTTTATGGTACAACCTAAACTTATACATTTAATGTTATGGTACAACTTTGAGTTGTACATTAAAGCACCAATACTATATAGCATAGTAGAAGTGCTCATCCACCTTCTATAATTACCTTTGTTCATTTATTTTTGTTGAATCCCCACCTCTCTTCTGGAAATGGAATAGAACCTGATTTATTCACTTTCTCGGTAAATTAATTGATGTCCAAAGAATGATTTGCAGTTGATAGATTAAAAATGACATGTTGTCGCGACCAGCTAGTCATCCTCCACCGGCACTACCGCCCTTCAATCACCATTGAATCCCTGTCGTCGAGTTCACCAAACAACACCGCTTCTTGATATGTGCGGGGTGAAGCTAACTTTTAGGGTTTGTATTTTGAAAGAGGAATTTCAGAATTGGAAGGGGTTAGAGCAGTAACCGATGTTGATTAGTGTTGAAATCATTTGGCGCTAGAGGGGATTGAGAGTTGGGATCGGAAATGGGAGGGGTTTTTGCTTTGAATTTTTTTTATTTTTTATTTTTTATTTGGAGGTGGTTGTGTGGGGTAATGACGGTTGATAGGTTGGAAATAAACCTGGGTGCAAAAATGTCATCACATTTTTATTTTACTGGGTAAATCTCTATTGGACTGCATTTAATGGATTTCGGATGTAAAAACTAACAGAGGGGTATGTTTGAGAATTTGTTGATAGTGGAAGGGCATATTTGATATGATTTAAAGTAGAGGGGCATGTTTGAGAAAAAATGCATAATAAAGGGGTATATTATACCTATAACCTTTAAACAAACGAACTAATTTATTAATCTGGGTAAATCTCTATTGGACTGGATTTAACGGATTTCAGATGAAAAAACTAATGGAAGGGTATGTTTGAGAATTTGTTGATAGTGGAATGACATATTTGATATGATCTAAAGTAGAGGGGCATGTTTGAGAAAAATGCATAATAGAGGGACATGTTCGAACCCAGACCAAGGGAAGAGAATGAAAGATGATTTCCGCTAGGCTATTATAATATTTAGAACATAATTTGTGCATGACCGCATTCATATATTGTTTAGTTTATACGTAATTTTCCAAATATCGCTAAGTAAAGTCCACCTAGCTCAACCCCTGGGTATGGTGAAGGAATTAGGAATGAAGGCGGCTTAAGTAAAGTCCAAATTCATAAAATTGTGGAAAGGTGGTAACCTAGGTTGATCTAATCATTTACCGACCAACAATGAAACAGAAGCAAATTGCTGAATTTCAATTTATTTATGAATGACAAAGACTTAAGTGCAGCCGATATACAAATGTTTGCAAAAAAGGAGCAATGTTTTTTGGAGAAAAAATGTGGAAAAGAAAAGGGAAATTTTGCGAATAGTGCTGACTTGAACAAAGCTGAAATGCGAAAAATGTAACTGAATCACACTTAATTTTTTTAAAGACAAAAAAATTGTTTTTGAAACTTGTGTGGAACGCTTTAGATGCATTATCTTAAAATTAAATACAAATGTATAACCACTCCCATATTAATTGTAATGGATTATGTAAACGAACTCAAATTTCATATTTTTTTGCATAAAAAAGATCAAATATTTATTATCTACAAAATGACATTTATTGTTACTTATTTTGAAAAAAAGAACATAGGTATTTTAGTTATTGTGGAAATCCAGCTTAAATGGTAGAAGATACAATCCAATTGATAAAAGTAAATTATTAACAAATTTATTTGAATTTCAACCATTTGATCTGTCCAATTTTGAAACTTGGTTATTAAGCTGAAGCAATTTTTATGTTATGCATATCCGGGCCCAATGTTTTCTATCTTCATGTGTACAGTACAATAAAGGAAATCTATCCAAAAATAAAAATAATAAAAGAGATCAGAACTGCGTTAGAAAAAAAGATTAAACAGTATTTGTAATAAGTTCGCATGGAAGTTAAGGAAAAATGAATTTTGAAAAAAAAAAATGAGTTGCATTAGATAAAATAATTATAACGTCTTTAATATGTGAGATTTGTCAAATTCGTATTGTTGATACATATATCACTTGTTTTTTTTTTTTTTACTTCCTTTTACCAATGGTGCTTTCGCCTAGATCAAAATTACTTGGTTAAAAATATTCACGACCATCAATAATATTATTACACAAATGAAATTATCGTGTATCATGGTGGCACATGGCTTAATTATGCAAGTATACTATAAAAATCTATGGGTGTGTGAACATGTCATATAAATATGTGATTGTGATAATGTATTTTATTTAGCAATTTAACATTTTCTCTTCACAATATTATTAACAACTATTGCAGTAAGCAAAAATATTTTTTTAGATGACTTACCGTTAGGGCTGCAAATGAGCCGAGCTGAGCCGAGTTTTACCCAAGTTTGATCTTGACTCGTTAACAAATGAGCTGAGCTCGAGCCCGAGCCATTTATTAACGAGCTGAGTCGAGTTCGAGCTATGCTTGTTTACTAAATTCTCAGATCGTATTTAATACATTCATTTTGTATGTCGTGTATGGTACATGTGATTGATGTAGCGATAAAAAAATAATCAAATGTTCAACATTAATTAATCTTATACTATAATTTTTAGGTGTCATATTGTTTAGTTAATAAATTTTAACTAGTTCAAATCCTGTTATTTCATAGTATCGAAACAATTTTGTACATAATTTCTTTACAGAATTAAAAATAAGGCATATTTTCTTACATGTTCAACATGTTAAACTTCACATGATGTGAGATATATAATTTAACAATCCTATGAATTATGAAAGTCCAAATTAGATCGATTAGTCCATAAGCCAGTGATCAAGTTGACCCTCAAAACCACAATGTTGAGACATCTCATGAGCTCTAAATGAGCCAACTCACGAGTTGAGCTCAATAAGCCACCGAGTCGAGCTAGCTCGCAAGCTTCACGAGCTGAACAAAGCTAGGCTCAAGCTTGGCTCGTCAGTAAACGAATCGAGTTTCGAACGAGCTTTTCCCGATTCGAGCCTCGAGTTGCTCGCGAATAGCTTGGCTCATTTGCAGCCCTACTTACTGCTCCCTTTTTTTACACACTAGCAACAGAGTATTCCAATCTCCCAGCTCTGTCGGAGCATGATCATGCAACACCATATGAAAAACAAACCGAATGCACACTACAAAATCAGGAAGCTTTGGGACCCAAAATAGGGGACGATTAAATGAGTTTGTCCTCGGAGATGCAAGTCTTAGTGACATAGGGGACAATATCATAAAATCGTCTCTATAGATGCAAGGCGGCCGAAAATCACATTGACGCGCTATTTTTTATCGTCCCTGTAGCCAAAGACGGGACAGAGTTAACTATTCTTAGTTGAATAATTGAAATGTGCCGCCTAGTTTTCTTTTTAGGATTTTTCTCTTTAAGTTCTAGCCTATGGATGAGTTTTATATATTAATTAAAATGAGAATGATAGCTTCCTAGGGTTTAGTCTTCTATTTTTCCTCCTCTCCATCTTCTTCCTAGGCAACAGAGGGAACTCTACGATCTCAGCTCCCCTTCTTCTCCAAGCCCTCTTTCATTTCATCTTTCTCTACGTGGCTGTCCTTCCTCTAACACCCATGCTTTACTTCTGATTGCAGTGTAACCCGATTGAGGAATACCATGTAAGGACGAGAAAGATGTTTGTTAGCAATAACAACTCAATTTTCGGTTAGGGTTCTTCTAACTCGTCCTGTTAATGGCGCTTGACGGCAAGAACAACCTAATTGACGAGGGTGCATTGAACCTGTCGCTGGAATTATAAGGTATTAAGACCATATGATTTGTTTGTTTCTCTTTTCAAATTGTCTTTGTTTAGGGTTTTAGGTCTCTGTTCTAAATTTAACAATAAAATTTTGAAATTTGTTTGGTTGTAATTGTTTGTTTTACTTTCGGGCGTGGGAAGGTTCTATTGTTGGTATTTCTATAATCCAGCCAACAATATCTTGTTTTGACATGATGGGGTTACATAGATCCAAGGGAACCGATGGAACCTAAAATTGGTAGAGCTAGGCAAATTTCAATACCAATTATCATGTCCTTCCTCACGTTGGTAAATGGCCTTCAAATTCCTCTCTCTGTCTGTTGTCTTTCATGCGATGTCTTATTAGAGAGGGAATTATTCAAGTAAATTTAGGAATATAAATTATTATGCAATGCAGACATACTAATTGAACCTAAAAGTGGAATGAAGAGAAGCCAAAAGTTGATGCTTATACAGGAAAACTGGAAGATCAAGTCCAGCAAATCATCTTAACACGATGATCAGAAATCAAGCCGAGCAAATGTTGTGCCAAGTGAAGACAGAGAGGTCGAGCAACAAGTTAGAAGTGAGTGATTTAAGACTAAGGAGCTTCTGATTTGGATGAATGAATTACTGCAGTGTTCTATTACTTGTAAAATATATATATATATATATATATATATATTCAGTTGTATCCTAATTCTATTTTTTCAATTATTGGTATAAAGACTATATATCTCAGTATATTTAGTGTATATATATTTTTTATTTGAAAATATATACAGGTCGTTCATATGAGTTACAGAGGGGACAACTAGTCTTTCCCAATAGGTGCACAAGTGACAACTCGTCGTCCCCCAATATCCAAGTTAAGAGACAACTATTCGTCCCCAAAATTCATAAGTAATAACGTGTCGTCTCTAAAGATATAGTGTAAGAGACCGCTTGTAGTCATTGAATAAATATTTTGGGGACGATTTTTAGACTCCAATTTATACCTATAAGAACGGCATGTCACCCTATAAAAAGAAAAAGGGACGATATATTATCCTCGTATAAGCGCAACACAATCATGAAATTGATTATGTGGGACAACAGTTTGTCCCTTGAAATGATTTTTAGAGGACGATTTATTGTCACTAAAGTTATAGCTATAGGGACGACATGTTGTCTTTCATGAAAAAAAAAAAAGCGAGACAATGACTTACGAGTTTTGGGTGACGACAGTCGTCCCTATTAATGGGGACGACCTAAATTTTTGTTGTCCCCAAAAGAATAGAGGACAAGAGTATAGGGAACCACTAGTCGTCCCCAAAAACTATAGGGACGATTTTTCTTAGTTTTGGGGACGACTTTTATCGTCCCCAAACCTCCTCTTTTTGTAGTGGCATTAGCAGCCACCAAAAAAATGGCTGCGAGTTTC